GATGATCAGACCTCAGTCATAAAGTCCTTGCAAGATGTCTTAAAAGGGTCAGATAATGTTTTTGAAAAATCAGAAAAATAAGAGGGGTCTCTACTTTCAGCTGAAATCTAATGAGAAATAGTAGAACAAGTTTTATCACAATTTTGAACTGCAGGTGATTCATTTGTTTCCTGTCACCAAAATGCCACTAATTTTTCTTTCCCTCTTTCTTTTCATGCATGACATCCAGTTCATTGCAGTGTGGCCCTTTATAGCTATTTCTAAATCTTCCCAAGGGTTTCACATGTGCTTGGAAGTCTAATCCTGTTAGGCACCCCTGTTGACCTCTGTATCATAAGTATTGCATTCTCTGCTTTGGGTATTTTGGGATCATCTTTCTCTCTTTCCCTCTGTGGTGCTGTGGATTGAACTGGGACCTTGTGCATGCTAGCTAAGCATTCTGTCTCTGAGCTACATCCCTAGTCCCTGGACCATCTCTTGTTCACTGAGCAACAAGAGATGTTGGATACAGCTCTATGCATTTGTGCCCACCTCCTGTTAAAGTTGTGTTCACTGTCCCTGCTCTGCCAGTAATGCTTCATACTCCAGGCCAACTAGGGCCCTCATACTGTGCAGTAGTGGGGAGAATGCCCAGCCTCCCCCATGTGTCACCCTTTGTCATTGAGAATCTAAGCCATGTTGCATGCACTTTTCCTGAAATAGTGCTTTTGACTTATGTCTGTACTTCCTCCTTCTCTAAGATATAGGTACAGTTTTTTTTTGGGGTGAGGTGGGGACTAGACACAGATACATTACTGCCTTCCCCATTTTCTCACCCCCAATGCCTGAGCTTTGCTATATAGCAGAGACTGGGAGTTTGTGTGCTTATTAAAAATGTCAACTAAAATAGAGCCTCATAAAGAATGATACATATACATACAAATGTTTTAATTTAAAGCACAGAAATATACATTTTTTTAACCACTCTTGATGGAGAAGACTTTTTCTTGGAGTAAAGGACACAAATTAGAAGTCTATGAAGTCTTTCTTATATAATCACAATGTTAATACATACCTGTGAGCTCCTTTCATTTTTAAAAACATGTGAAATGATGGATGTTTAAAGATATATATATATATATATATATATATATATATATATATTTTTTTTTTTTACTAATCTCTTAGAATCATCTTGCCCACACCTTTTTTTTTTTTTTTTTTTTTTAAATAACTCTTATGGAGTCATTCCAAAGCAGTCAACCTAGTTTTTGGAGCAATAATAACTCCTCATTTCACACTCATTTCATCAGCTCATGCATTTTTAAATTAAATCAGAATAAAAATTACAATTGCCACAAGAAAACGTGGAGACAAATATGACAGCTTCTTGGTGATATGTAGTTCAACTGTGGGAGCAGCTAGGTATCCATAAGCTGAGAGTGTTCCTGTGCCCTTAGTGACCCATGACTGGCAGGGACCCTATGTTTGCTGGTGGAGTGGGGAGAACCAATGAACTTWGTGAATCTGCAGGCTGATTATTTGTATCTACGGTGTAAACCACATCCCCTCTTAGGTCAGCCCTGTGAAAGGCACATGCAGACCCATTCACATGAAGTAGCTGATTTAGGGTGCGGCTTCGCTAGTCAGACAAGCTTAAGCAGGCCAGCATTCCCTAAAGTAGAAGCAGACAATTAACATTCAGAATTTTTAAAACATTCCCAGAACACAAAACCTGTTTTTTTTTTTTTTTTTTTTCCTTGCGGGTGAACAAGAGAATCCTTCTGTTTTCATGTATAAACAGGTCGACTTATGTACCTGAACCGCAGGATCATGGAGAAAACTGGCCGCTCTTTCCTTGGAGGTTAAAAACTGTCCTGGAGCCCAATGCAAGCCAGAATTTAAAATTCAGCTTCTGCTTTGGTGCCCTCAAGTGGTTAGTGTGAGCATGCCACTTTCAAGAGGAAGATGGTTTAGTAAATACATAATGATTAAAAAATCTGGGATGAATAGACAGAATGCAGAATTTTTAGGGTAGTGATACTTTTGTCCGAAGCTACAATGGTGGATATATGTCATTATACATATATCCAAATCTATAGAATATACAATACTAAGAGTGAACCCTAATGTGAGCTATGGTCTCTGGGTGAAAATAGTGTACCAGCTGGGTGTGGTGGTACATACCTGTAATCCCAGAGACTGAGGAGACTGAGGTGGGAGGATTATAAATTCAAGGTCAGCCTCAGCAACTTAGCAAAGCCTTAAGTAGCTAGACCCTGTCTCAAAATTAAAAAGGGCTAGGGATATAGCTCAGTGGTAAAGTGCCCCTGGGTTTAATTCAATTCCCACTACAAAAAAATAAAAAATACACAGATGCACACACAAGCACACACACACAAACACCAGTATAGATTCATCCATGGTTACAATGTGCTGCTGTGGTGGGGGTTGCTGATGATGGAGGAGGCTGTGCGTGTGAGAGGGGGTAGGGATATATGGGAAATTTGTATTCTTTATGCTCAGTTTTACTGTGAACATAAAACTGCTCTAAATATAGTTTATTACTTTAAAAAATCTTGTATTTTACATACATTTTTCCTTCTGGGTACTGGTAAGAGCAAGTAAGAGCAAGAAAAGATAGAGACATTGTTTAGGGAGGCCAGCTGAGTTCTTAAGTGGGAAGCCCTATAGTCCTATGTCTGAGTCCTTAGTTTTATAAATATCAGAAACCTTATTTTTTCCCCCAATGAATTCAGAGTTGTTCAAATTTCCAGGAATACATCATGCTCACAAAATTTACAAGAGACACTTTGATAAGTCATAATGCCAATGTATTGCCTTACAATTAGAAATATATATGTYGCAGTTGACCAAAGCATGTGTTATCTGAGTAGTTTATTTTATACCTTGTAGGAATTTTTTTGGGACGACAACTATACTGAATAGGTTGCTTGGTGAGATCACAGTGGGCTGGTGTGTCTGTGTGTGCCCATGTGCTGTTTGTTTAATGGTTAGTGCTGTTATGCTGAGACTATCTTCATCACTTTAGGGATGTGACTCTGSGGTGGGAACACTTAAGTCACTAGGCGGTACAGAATCCTGGAAGGTGCTGATGACAGACCAACCCAGTCTTTTTCTTTGGATGCTCTTTGTCAAGCATCTGGGAATCCTTTCTTCCCTCAGGGCATAGGGTGAGTGGCAAGGCAACTGCTGGAGGCTTGTTGATAAAGCTTTAGTTAGAGAACCTGTTTGGTCCCCAGGACTAGCATTTAGGTGTTAACCAAAACTTTTTAGCCACCATTTACAGTTTTTTTTTTTTTTTTTTTTTTGCTTAGGGGGAGCTGTTCTACTTATTGCATGATCATTTTTTTTATACTTTCATTCTCAGAGGAAAACTTATGTTTTGGTGACTCTATCCCCAAATGCAATGTAAAATTAATATGCAAAATCTTTAATCACCTTGGGATATATTCCCAATACCAATGCAGTACTTGGCTAAAAGTGGGGTTTATTCTAGTTTCCAAATTTGTAAGAATGCCTTTGTGCAGGCACTTGAGGTCTGTGTCTTGGGAGTTTTGCATGGACCTTGTTACCTGCTTGCTTTTAGCTGCTCCTGTGAGTCTCTGGAGCTCAGACTCCAGCTCTAGSTGCAGCATCCTCTCAGTACTTCTTCCTCACCTCAGGGGACATGGGAAATATATGCAGAGATTATAAACTGGTGGCCTGTGTTTGAAATCTGATCTCTTATTTTTGCCAATACATTATTTTAAAATGTTTAACTTAATTACCCAATCTGAAAAAATCAGGAAATTCATGCAAACTCTTGAGTATCCAGTTTCTCTGCAAAACAATAAATCTGGCTTAGTAGGGTCCACATTTCCATTCTTAGCAGGGCAGGAAGTGTTGGAGTGCTCTGGATATGGCACACTTCTTCCAATCATCCTCACTCCCTACCCTTTCCTTTCACTTGGGATTGGGGGTGGGTGAGTGACTTAGTACATTGCAAAAACAAAAAGAAAACACAAAACAAACATAAGGAAAAGGGCAGCTTCTCATGGASTACTCCTCCCTGTTCTGGTCCCCGCTGTCTGTGGGGAATTCCTCCCTTGGAACTGCTCCCAGCCTACTTTTCTTTAGACTCTCTCTCTATATGAATTATCTTTAAATTTATCCTTGTGTTGGCTGGAGTAAGGTTGATTAAAGCATGTTGACTTTGGAATCACAAGACCTGGTTTTGAATCCCAGCTACACTTCTTACTGAGTTCAGTTACCTCATTTTTAAAATGAGGGTGATGGTATTCCTGAGAGGGTGGTATGAATATTAAATGGGATTGTGTACATAATGCATCAAGTGGAAGTTTGGTACACAAATAATAGTGCCTTTGTCTCTCTCTTCTGTTAAGACATGGTTCTTTCCCATCTTCACAACCTGGATGAAGTCCAATGCTGCTTTTTGGCTACTCACAGCTCTTTGCTCTTATAACAAAGCCAACTGTTCTGTCTTCTTTAGAACTTCCAATCTTTCTTTCTTTCTTTWCCTTTCTCTCTCTCTCTTTTTGGTACTGGTGATTGAACACAGGGGCGCTTAATCACTAAACTACATTCCTATCCCTTTTTATTTTTTATTTTGAGACAGGGACTTGCTAAATTGCTTAGGGCCTCACTAAGTTGCTGATACTGGCTTTGAACTTTTGCTCCTCCTGCCTCAGTCCTGAGTTKCTGACATTACAGGCATGCACCACAGTGCCTGCCTTCCAATCTTCTTTATYGGTACACTTCACATATTCCCTCTTTTTATTGGTGCAAAAAGAATAATGAGAATAATGAATGACAGATGAATTGATTTTTTTTTAGGTGATTCTGTAAGAAGGCATACCTTTTGTCAAATCTCTACAATAACTTTTGTGATGGAAACTGTGTTCGCTTTTGCCTCAATCTGTTGGAATTCTTTCTGAATATAAATGTACACACACATACACACACACATAAAACTTTCTCCCTTCATTATATGTTTATAGAGATAGAACCAAGATCAAAAGCTGGAAAGTCTTCAGCAGACAAAATTGGAACTGCAAGAGGAACCCTTCGTCTGAGATCTAGAGGTCCTGCCACCATGGAAGAAATGGTATGTTCTGTTCATTTGATTCCCGTTGTGCTTGGAAATGTATAGATACCTTGAACTTAGGTCCTGGGGGAATGAAAGGTTTGATCTGGAGGTAAATGGCAACCGACAGACCTGGTAGAGTCAAAAGCATTTTGAAAATGAGATTTGAGGAGGCATGTGAACAAAACCCACACAGTAGCACCTGGTCATTTTGAGCCTTTACGTTTTCATTGCTGAGCATACTGCCTGGCGTGTTGCCGAAGGCCATTACTGTTTCTTGAACAAGTGAACAAGCCCGAGTGGAAGAAATACATTGAAGAGAATGGAAGAACCGTGGGAAGGAACTGGCAGTGGGCAGTGAGGAGAAGGCCAGCCCTGCTTTCTGCTGGAGGCTGTGAGGGAAAATGAGCAGACTTGAAGCAGCTTGAAAAGGAAACAGGGAGAGCAGGATGTCCCTTCTAATAGTTAACATAATAAATATTTGTTAAGCACCTGCTRTGTATTAGGTGCTAGGATGAAAAAGAATTCTTAAAATCTGTCGGARGAGGTAGGAAAGATTTATTTAAAATGAAACATCCAAAAAATCCATCCCTGTTTGCATAGCCCGCTTAATTAWATAGGCCAATTAAAAATAGCTGATAATGAGAGGAAAAAGCGGTTTTGGGGCTAATATTAAATTTGATACAAATGACTTGTAATCTAGTTTCAAGGATTGAAGTATTTAAAGGATTTATAGGATTTGAAACAAATCATCCCCTTACAACCTGACACAAATTCTGAACACTGAGTGATATTCTATTTGCATTCCTCATACTTTATTCATTTGTTGGGCCTGCACAGTTGCTGGTAATATAAAGATAGATAAAGACCTTGCTCCTCCTCTAAGGGAGAGTGGCATGACAAGAAGCCATTATGAACCAGCTGAACAGGGCTTTGCACAAGGTACACAGTGTCACAAAGAAGGGGCTGGCCAGTAGCTGTCAGGTCTGGGGAAAGAAAGGACACCAGCAAATTTCCTTCCAGAAAAAATGATTAAGTTCATGCAAGATGGGGAGAAGAATATGTTAGACACAACACAATGGTGGGCTTGGGGAGCTGGTAAACTGTTCCTGAGATAGAAGGGTGGGTACTGGAAGTACCTGGTGGGGAATGAGGGTGATGAGGCTGGAGGAATTGGCTGGAGTCTGGATGCAAGAGGGCTTATGAGAACTGGGGAGCAATGCAATCAGTTTTGTGTTAGAGAAAAATCCCTTGGTTTGAGGGGATGGATTGTTAAGCAGGATGGATTTGAGAGGGTGATGGGAAGGTCGGGTAAAAGGAAGCTTCTGTGYATAAGAAAAGATGAGGAATAGACTCAGGCAAACAGTGTGGCTGGACAAGAGGTTATAGATCAAGAGCTATGCAGGAGTTAGAGTGGCAAACCCTTGTGTGTGCCCAAGTCCTGGTACTTGTTATGGCAACTTACAGTGTGGCTGTGTAGATAGATACAAATGTTAATGCCTAAGTTATTTTGTGTAGCCTGATRCTTTACACAGATAATTCAAAATAATACACTATAATGAAGGCATTAGCAATATATTAGGTCTGTTACTATTTTTAAGCTTAGTGCTTGTCAATAAAAATATATGGGGCCTGGGTTGTAGCTCAGTGTTAGAGTGCTTACCTAACATATACAGCCAGAAGGAAAAAAAAAAAAAGWAAAACATTGTACTGTTGATCTCCTTAAGGAGATAAACATAATTTTTTTGCTATATAATACATGACTAGTAAATTTTGAAAATACAAAGCAACAAATATTTATAACAATATTGAAAATAATGTGAAATTCTGAAAATCTGACTAATGGTGAAATCTACATTTGGACCTGTAGTTGAGTATTAAATGTCTTTGGGCCATTTCTTTTCAGGTGTGAAGAAAACCAAGAATAATCTGAACATATAATAAATAAGACTTGCCAAATATTTTAAAAGAATATTAAAAATAATCATGCTTTTTACTGAAAATTTTAACAGTTTTAGGAAGAACAAAATTGGTGTCATTAGTACATAAAATACAAACTATGTTAAGAATATTATCTCATAAGTATCTCATACTTATAAAATTTTCTTTTTTGGTGTTTTTATAATGTATATGATATATTAATATGGTAATACATGTATGTAATTAATAAAAATATGCACAATACAGTTAAATAAAAAGTAAGTAAAAAGAGTGGAAGTTTAGAAGCATTTTACTGTTGGGATGAGCCATCAAGAGTTTGGAGACCCTGGTTTAGACAATAAAGATCAAAGTCCTTTTAGTGACCCTTAAGGTCAAGTCACATGGGGCTTCTCACAGTTCCTTTAGTATGCAAAGCCTCCAACCTCATGTAGACTCTGCATATCTTTTGCCTTCTGCTTCAAGTGCCCCTCTTCTTGTCCACTTGGACAACATAATTCTGAAGTCACCTTCTTTCTGAAGTCTTCCATATCTCTTAGATAAATTTGCTTTCTCCCCATGGTGCCTCTGTACCATTTATGTCCTTTATGATTGTTACATAGTCATTTATTTTTACTTTGATCTCCCCATTTAGATAGTAAGCTACTTGGGAACTGTATTCCCAGCTTTTCGTTTTTGAATCCAAAAGCAAATATTTACTGTGTTGATTTATATTTAGTTATAGAGCACATTCTTGAGATATTTTCACTAAAATAAGCTGAAGAACATCACCATGAGTTGGCTCCACATCACATTTTCCCCTGACAATCAAGATATTTCATTTTAAAAATATAATGTCTTATTTCTCTCGTTTTTGATAAAGCCCTCTGAAACCAAAGCAAAGGCAATCGAAAAGGTTGATGATCTTCTTGAACTGTACATGGGAATTCGAGATATTGATTTAGGTAAGAATATGCTTTTTAAAGATAAAACTTGATAAGAAATTGTATTTCAAACTGCATAGTCACCAGAAACACACAGCTAGGAACAGTGCACACCCTTCTCTTGGCATGGCAGCACCTCCAGCTTTCTGTGCCTGGTTTGCTTGGMAGCTCCATTTTCTGCAGGCTTGTTCCCATCCTTGGCAGCATCAGCTTTTCCTTTTTTTTCATCTGGGTATCTTCTCTCTCTTCTTTGCAGAGCATTTTTAGGCTTGGGCTCTGGCTTTGGAGGAGCAGACAACCTTGTGGATCTTTTCTGGTTTGCCCATTACCTTGGCTTTATCTCTCCATCCCTTCAGCCTTTCTCTTGGGAAAGGTGGCAACAAGSGATGGGACTTTGGTGCTGGACCCGGGGATGCAGCAGCTGTGGCTTTGCTCAGTCTGAGGATCCTTCTCACTGCTTCTCTCTGCTCTAAGAATATGCTGCCTTCAGAAGTCTTGTATCTTCTAATTTGATGAAATCTAGTGCTTATTTATGTCTTATTTATATATCCRATTGTGCCTTTCAAGATTAAAAAGTATTTGTAGAATCATTAAAAGAATAATGAGTATAAAGATAAGTCAACTTTTGAAAATTTTAGGTTTCTTTTTTTTGTGTGTGTGTGTGTTTTTAGGGATTAAACCCAATGATGCTCTGTCACTGACCTATATCTCCATACCGGCCCCTTAAAAACGTTTTTTTTTTTTTTTTTTTTAATAAACTTGTGATTGCCCTGCCTCTGGTAATTCTTAAGATCTGTATGTTGTGAATGATATCGCCTGTTATTTTATGAATTTAAATATATATATATATATATCTTTATTAAAATATATATATATATATTTTAATAAAGATATTGTGTCCATCTTATTTTTATTTATTTATTTATTTTTATTTTTCGGCGGACACAACATCTTTTGTTTGTATGTGGTGCTGAGGATCGAACCCGGGCCGCACACATGCCAGGCGAGCTCGCTACCGCTTAAGCCACATCCCCAGCCCCGAATTTAAAAATATTTATGAAAATAATTTTGTAAGTGATTCAAATAAATGATTTTATAAGCTGATTTTTCCATATTTACATTGATACAATTGTGTATTATAATATTAAAGTTGTATACAGTTTAATGAGGTTCCTGAAACCCTCTGAACAATGAATCAGAAATAAGGAGAAGGGGTGGGGGTTGTGGTTCAATGGCAGAGCACTTGGCTGGCATATGTGAGGCAACATTAAAAAACAAAAAAGGAGAAGACAGACACTTGACACATGACTGATAAGCATTTGAGCAGTTGRATTTCTGTGTGTTTATTAGGTCATTATTAAAATGTCAAGGTCATGATTTGTCAGTTAAAATCCTATCGGTTGCAAATAACTACAAACAAGAATGAAGCAAAACCAAACCAAACCAAACCCCTAACTCTGTCTTGAGGTACAAAAGGGAGAAGTTTTAGATTCTTATAACTGAAAAGTTCAGAGATAGCTCTTATCTTCAAGAATGGCTAGACCCAGAGTTATAATGCTGTCATCAGAATATGGTTTTTTGGGGCCCTGGGTTTGACCCTCAGCACCACATATAAAGAAAATAAAGGTATCGTGTCCAGCTACAACTAAAAAATAAATATTAAAAAAAAGAGTRTGGTTTTTCTTCTGGAAATTCTGGATTCATTCTGTGTCCCTTTGGTATCCCCTGGCARCTTCAGGCTGTACCTCATGAAACTAAAATGACTGCAACTGCTCCACTCTCTATCCTCTTAGCATCAAGCACAATGGGAAAGATGGAGGGGCAAGTCATTGGAACAAAATGCCCAAGATT